AGAGGTTAAAGTTAGGTCAAGAAATGCATTAAAATTGGTTTCCAAAAGAAGTTTCAATCATAGAAGGAAAGGACCACCGTCAGGCATAAAATAGCCATGCGATCGAAAGACTTAGAGAGTCACGATTGCATCGCTTGCAGAACCCAAGAGAGTTGAGACAAAAAAAAAATAATAAACACAATAGAGAACCAGAGTTTGAAATGAGAGATAATGTGTTTTAATCTATTGTCTAGACTTGCAATAGCAGCTCTCAGTTCAAAATGTTGCTTCACTGATTAGCCAAATGAATCTAATAGATTCTTACTAAGGAATGTTCAAAATGAAGTTACCTATCCTGATGCATTATTTCTCAGTAGTACTCTTCTTTGTCTTCTTTGATCTTGTCGAATTCTTTTATACATGTGGAAAATTGTTGAAATTAATGGATATTTTTATATGTGTGATTTGGAAAAGTCTCCAATTGGCATGTTCATAAGTCATGATTTTTCAAATGCAAAGAGTGCATATTGAGGTTATAGACATTTGGAATCGAGTAATATTATTCATCCCTATTGAGGTTGAGCCACAGTTTATGTGACAATTACATGATATTAAATGATAGATTCATTTAAATATAAAGTTACATGACTCATTTAATTGAATCTTTCATTTAATGTCATATAATTACCATATAAAAGGGGGCTCAACTCCAGTGGGGATGAATAGCATTATTCGAATCGAGTAATGTTATTCATTCTCACTGAAATCATCAAGCATTCACATATTTCAATTCATCATATTTCTTGTTTTTCAAAGGTCAGATTTATACTATACATTTTTTATCGTTGAACTAAATAAAATATTCTGTATCCATTTCATTTATATAGACTGATTTTGTTTTTCATACGAATTAAGAAATCTTATTTAATACTATTGAAAAAACAATTTTTTCAAAAAACTTTCTTAGTTTACCATTATTTAATTATCAAGAACTAGTAGAAAATTATTGTTGAAAGTAATAAAGAAATTGATTGATTTAATTTTCAAAAAGTAGGTACATTTACATTTGTATAATTTCAAGATTAAGTGAAAAAATTAGTAATGACTAGACAAATTGAATAAGGGTATATTAGTAAACAAATAATACAAAATATTTTCAATAAAGAAACGTGACTACATAATTGGAATAAGAAAATAAGGAGAGTAAGTCTGTATAAATGAAACGGAGGGAGTAGTAAATAAAAAGACAAATTTCTTCATTTAGGGTGACGAATAACAGGACAAAAAATATTGAAAAAGAAATGAAATACAAACAATTAGCTCGCTATACCTTTGTCTATAATGATCTTGCTATATCTTTATTTACAACCATCAAATGATAGTGTCCCCACTATCCAACGTCATTGGTACGCAAACCCTTCATGGTATGCCATCGTCTCTCTTCTTCCTCGCTACATTTACTCTTGAATGTATTTAGCAATAATTTAATTATGAGTGCTATTATGACTTGCTACTAGCATTTGTCATGTGGTTGACCCAGTGAAATTGTAGACCCATGTATGCCAAACCACCAGTCATAGAAGACGAGGCCCAGATCCGAGACTCATTATTAATTCGAGGTGGATGTGCCGAATAGGCCCAATAGGTCCGATGCTCCACTCCAATTAGTGACGGCCCATGTGCAAATATTTGTTCATGATGAAAATCTTTATATGAATGACTGATTTGACTTTTGTAAAAAGTGTATTTTTGTCATTTCTTGTCAATAGGGCGTGAGAACATTAAATGTTTTGTAAAACTATGAAGTAAATTTGATGGCTAGGCCTTGATGTTTTGACCGAAGAGATGAGGCCACGTGTAATTTCATCCAATGATCATCATTTCATTTGTAATAATATAAATACCCCCACCTTGTAACAATTGAAGACCGATTCAACTTTAAATACTTGGAACAACTCATTTGATTATCTTACATTGATTTACAATCTTTAATCTGAGTTCTTAGCGATTGGTAATTATTGTACAATCATATCCCGTTATCTCGTTGGAACCCGAATGGAAACGTCTCGTATTGTTGAGCTTCTCCCATGTCCAATTGTGAATGAGCATCGGCAGTTCAACAATTCATTGTCTCAGCTCCAAAATAAAATTCAGCTATCTTCAAGGTAAAAGAGCCTCAGCAGTTCAACATTTTCTCTGCCTCAACTCCAAAAACAAATTCGGCTATATTCAAAGTAAATGGGCCTCGGTAGTTCAACAATTCACTCCCTCAACTCTAGTAACAAACTCAACTATCAACTCCATGCATAATATAAATATATATGCATGGACTTGGGGGACTAGCATGATGGATGAGAAATTTTAAAAGCTTTCTTGTGATGCCCAAGGAAGGCAATTCGTTGACTACTAAAAGTCCACGCATAATATAAATAATTATATATGGACTTGGGGGAATATTGTTTTAACTTGCTACTAGCATTTGCCATGTAGTGACTCAGTGAAATTGTGGACTCATGCCTACCGAAACACCACCCACAGAAAACGATGCACAGATCTGAAGCCTATCATTAATTCGAAGTGGATGTGCCGAGGAGGCCAAATCCGATGCCCATTATTAATTCGAGGTAGATGTGCTGAGGAAGTCCAGACCTAAGGCCCAACAAGTCCGAGGCTCCATTCCAATTAGTGACGGCTCACGTGTAAAGATTTGTTCACGATGAAAATCTTTATTTGAATGATTGATCTGACCTTTGTAAAACGTGTATTTGTGTCATGTCTTGCCAATAGGGTGCAAGAACATTAAATGCTTTGTAAAGTTAGGACGCCAATTTGATGGCTAGGACTTGATGTTTTGGCCAAAGAGATGAGGTCACGTGCAATTTCATCAAATGGTCACCATTTCATTTGTAATACTATAAATACCCCCATCATGTAACAATTGAAGACCGATTCAACTTTAAATACTTGGAACAACTCATTTTGTTCTCTTACATTGATTTACAATCTTTAATCTGAGTTCTTAGCGATGGGTAATTATTTTACAATCGTATCCCATTACCTCGCTGGAACCCGAACAGAAACATCTCGTGTCATTGAACTTCTCACACGTCCAATTGTGAATGAGCATCAGCAGTTCAACAATTCACTTCCTCAGCTCCAAAAATAAATTCAACTATCTTCAAAATAAATGAGTCAAGGTAGTTCAACAATTCACTACCTCAACTCCAAAAACAAATTCAGCTATCTTCAAAGTAAAGAAGCCTCGGCAGTTCAGCATTTTCTTTGCCTCGGCTCCAAAAAAAATTCAATTATCTTCAAAGTAAATGAGCCTCGGTAGTTCAACAATTCACTCCCTCAACTCTAGTAACAAACTCAACTATCAACTCCACTCATATTTTAAATATCTATGCCTGGACTTTGGGGACTAGCAAGATAGATTAGAAATTTTAAAAGCTTTCTTGTGATGCCCAAGGATGGCACTTCGTTGACTAAGTCCACACATAATATAAATAATAATACATGGATTTAGGGGATTATTGTTATGACTTGCTATTAGCATTTGCCATGTGGCCGATCTAATGAAATTGTGGACCCGTGCTTGCCCAACCACCAGCCATAGAAGACGAGGCCCAAATCTAAGGCCCATCATTAATTCGAGGTGGATGTGCCGAGGAGGCCAGATCCGAAGCCCATTATTAATTCGAGGTGGATGTGCCAAGGAAGCCTAGATCCAAGGCCCAACAAGTCCGAGGCTCCACGTGTAAAGATTTGTTCAAGATGAATATCTTTATTTAAATTACTAATGTGACCTTTGTAAAAAGTGTATTTGTGTCATGTCTTGTCAATAGGGTGTAAGAACATTAAATGTTTTGTAAAGCTATGAAGTCAACTTGATGGCTAGGACTTGATATTTTGGCCGAAGGGATGAGGCCAAGTGTAATTTCATCCAATGGTTACCATTTCATTTGTAATACTATAAATATCCCCACCATGTAACAATTGAAAACTAATGCAACTTTAAATATTTGGAACAATTCATTTGGTTCTCTTACACTGATTTACAATCTTTAATTTGAGTTTTTAGCAATTGGCAATTATTGTACAATCGTATCTCGTTACCCCGTCGAAACCCGAAGGAAAAGTTCTCGTGTCATTGAGTTTCTCCCACGTCCAATTGTGAAGTGATCTCGACCGTCGATCCACCTTTACGTGTTGGATATAGATTGTACATGCACGAATGAGTTCAGCATCTGTTAACAGCATTTTTTGAGGTCAACAAGTGCAAGTCGGTTTTTTGATAAATTTGAAGTAGATAACATGTTTAAGTCTATTTCGATTGTATTAGGAGTCAATTTAGTTGACCTGATTTTATTTTTTTTAATCAATTTTAACAAATACAACTTTTTTTATAGCAAGAGATACGCTTACTGTGTATTTTATGAATATTTTTACTGGTGTAAATTTTAAAATTAAAATAATTTGTAAATAAGTTAGTTAATAAGTCATTTTCACTTCTCGATCGAGCAACAAATAGAAAAGAAAAGAGAGAGAGAGAGAGAGAGACTAGAAAAAAGAGAAAATGATTAAGCCACTGTCTGGAAAGAATTTATGAATATTAATTATAAATATATAAAAAAGAGTGATGATTATTAAATACTTGTGAGTTCATTAAAATATGTAATTAAAAATAAAATTTGATCAATTTATAAATTTACGTAACAGATTATAAAATAAGAAGTAATTAATTTAAAAGATAAAAAAGTGGTGGATTTGAAAAAAAAAAAAAGGAAAAAGTTGTATCGAATAGGGAGCCTTCTCCGCATTCGTTAAAAGAGACACCTCACACGTGCTGTACCGACTGGGATTCGATGCGGTCGTGCACGTGTCCTTTCCTTCCACCCGACTACGCCCACGCACCCCACCCCACTCGGAATCCACCATTTATATTCTCCTTGTTTCTCAATCTTTTGGTGTGGACCCTAAAATCAAACAATTAGAGCTCTAACACGTTGTCGTTTTCAATGGGAACGGATTCCATTAGCTCAAGTTTCAGCCATTTGGGGCGAAAACTCAGCGATTTGAATATCAATGATGATTCCGCCGCTTTCAGCGAATGCAACAGTGATGGATCCGGCGAGTTTCCGACGACGTCTTCTCAAAGCCGCCGCCTGTTACTCGCCTGCGCTTCTGATAATTCTGAGGAGTTGATTTCCCAACTGATATCGAACCTCCAGTCTGATAACATAGATGATCAAAAACAAGCTGCCATGGGAATCAGGTTGCTGGCCAAGAACAAACCTGAGAATCGGATCAAAATTGCAAGAACCGGCGCCATTAAACCACTTGTGTCGGTAATCTCGTCAAATGATGCTCAATTACAGGAATATGGAGTCACAGCTATTCTTAATTTGTCACTATGTGACGAAAATAAGGATTTGATTGCATCTTCTGGCGCTATCAAACCGTTAGTCCGCGCATTGAAATTGGGAACTTCAACGGCTCGAGAGAACGCGGCTTGCGCTCTGCTTCGGCTCTCCCAGATCGAAGAGAATAAAACCGCGATAGGCCGGTCTGGAGCGATTCCTCCGCTGGTGAATTTGCTAGAGATAGGGAATTTTCGAGGTAAAAAGGATGCTTGCACGGCTTTGTATTCGCTCTGTTCTGTTAAGGAGAACAAAACTAGGGCTGTTCAGGCGGGGATTATGAAGCCTCTGGTGGAGTTAATGGCGGATTTTGGGTCGAACATGGTGGATAAATCGGCTTTTGTTTTGAGCCTATTGGTATCGACGCCGGAAGCAAGGGCGGCAGTAGTGGAGGAAGGCGGGATTCCGGTACTGGTGGAAATAGTGGAGGTGGGAACTCAACGGCAGAAGGAGATTGCAGTGTGCATATTATTGCAATTATGCGAAGATAGCTTGACATACCGGACAATGGTGGCTCGCGAAGGAGCGATTCCGCCTTTGATCGCCTTGTCGCAGACCGGAACCAGTCGTGCAAAACAGAAGGTAAGACGAGTAACTTATTTTAAATTTCAACTATCAAAAAATAAGTAATTTTTTTTAAGCAAACATGCTCATTTGTTAATTGCTTTTAAGATATTTATTAATATAAAGATAAGAGTAGTTTAGTGAATTAATTAATAGGAATAATTTGTTTTGGTTTTGGTTATTGGAATGATACGTCAATAATGGTGGTACAAGTCTCTTACACATAGGATTAATTAAATTATCAGTTAAACTTTGGGTGGAAAAAGGAGTAATGTTATTCATCCCCAACAGGGATGAAAACACAGTTTAGGTGACTGTAAATGATAAATGAAATGCAAGGTGAAATTAAATGACGTATTTAATTTCACCTATCTTTTAATACCACATTAGCGCTACCTAAACTGTGTTTTCATCCCCAGTGGGGATGAATAGCATTACTCTGGAAAAAGAGGCCTAAGTTGACACTTCAATTTTACTTGTTTTTAGTGAAAAAGCCATTCTATCCATAGGTAGAATTGGACAGTATTAGACAAAGTTAGACGACATAATAAATATAGTGAGTATCATCGAATCATATGTAGTTAAAGAGCCCGTGGAACTCTTAGTGGTGCTTTAAGATTGGATTTTATTTTATTTTTTTAATTTTTTTTTTCAGGGCATTGGTCGCGAGAAGTTCTTTCCTTTTCGTAAGAATTAAGTAGAGTACTAAACTCACTTTTAAAACCCATAGCCAACTAACCTTTTCTTTTTAATTCATAAAAAAAGAAACTAGTGTTTTCTTTTATGAGAAGAAGGATATGTAGTGCTAGTTTTTCTCCTAATACTCTCGAACCTAATGCCTTGTTGCAATTGGATTGGAATTTAAACAATTGAAATGCCTTCAATGTTTTTTTTTCCTTTCATATTCATCAAATATAGACTAGAATTCATTGTAGATTTAGCAATTGCTTCTTGAGAGGGAAATAGGAAGGGCATTGCTCTTAGGTCTAGTCATTCGTTAAATACTAGGCCTTGGAACATTATTGTTCCTTAAATTCATTTATGATCATACATTATCTCGTACTCGTAGCTTTTTCCAATATTTTAATGATATATATTATCTAAAACATTTTTTTATTTTAAATATTTTCTGACAAACAAACTACCTTCTGTTTTTACCGCCTTGATTGATTCTTTCAGTAAAGCAAACAATTAAGTTATAAAAAATTGTTTCACATTTTCGTTGGCAAACATCGAGGGGGAGATCATTTTGACCCTTGATTTGAAGTCACCTCAACAATCAACATCTATAAACAAAAGTGTAAAGAAAAATATTAGAATCAGTTCGATTTGTTTAAATTACATTCAAGAAATTTAATTTCTAATTTGGTTATTTGATATGAGAGTGGAAATGAACTTCGAATTTTAAGTTACAACCACTTTATTTTTTTTTTTTTTCAATTTTATGAAAAATGCATTCCTATAAAGTATTTGAATTTTATTTTTTAATTTACATGAAATTAAGTTTTTTTTAACATTTGTCAATTAAACGGACCTCCGGATGAGAAGCATGTGTAATGTCATTTGTGATTTTGTGGACAGTCGGAAGCACTGATTGAGGTTTTACGGCAGCCAAGATCCGTGAACAACGCTGCCTCTGCAAGAACATCTAATGTGTCAGTTTGATGTGTCCCCACATTCTCCCAGTGGGACCCCCATCAATTGTTATCAACCAAACCGCAATGGAAGACGCCGAAAATATGGAGGACGGAGAAAAAGGACGAAAGAGAGAGAGAAAAAGAATTGTGTCAATTTGTAAATACTATCTTGTGTTAGGTTGTAAATTTGTCCAAACTTTTGGGGTTTGATCTTGCTACATTTTTCAATCGTTTGCTTTATTCGTGTGGAGATAGTAATAATAATAATAATTACAAAAAGATTTTATAGCGGTGGGAAGAGCATGCCTGACCTTTTTTTCATTCTATGAGTTTGTTTGTGATGGATTTTAATCTAATTAAAATTGAAAATATAATCGTTATTAGGTCTCACTCGTCTAATAAAAGTCAACAATGACGACTAATTTTTCAATTTTAATCTGATTTTAATCCCTCACAAACAATCTCCTATCAAATAATAGAGTCTAAGAGTGCGATTGATTTGCTGATTTAAAATTATTTTCAATTTTACAAATAATGAAAATGTATTTGTTTGATATTTTTCAAAATACAATTTCGAAAATAAAAATAAATTTATAATATAAAATTCAAAATGCATTTTTTACGATTTTAGTGAAAACTTTGAAAACATTCAAAACATGGTAAAACAAGCATTTAAATAAATTTTTAAATAAAAATAAAAAATTCTAACAAAAGTTTAAAAATTTTAAAAAATACAATTGTTAAATTGTAAAAATAAAAATTTTGAAAAAATCAAATCTTAAATTCTAAAAATTAAAAAAATAAAAATTTTGAAAATAAAAACAATGAAGAATTTTTTAAAAATAACAATTTAAAATAATTCAAACTCGTAATGATTATTTACATAAAAATTATAAAAGTATTTAAGTGAACACAAAAAAAAAAAAATTAATAATTTCAGTTCATGTCATTAATTTTCATTTTTATTTTCTATATTTTGAACTTAATTTATTATTTATTTTTATTTTGCTTTTGTAGCAAGAAAGAAAATTATTTAAAAAATTCACCAACTTTAAAATGTATATATTAAAATAAAATTGTTCTATTCTTATTGAATAATCAAATTTGACGGAATAAAATGTTATAAAATAATTTTTCAAAATTCAAACCGAACGTGGTTTTCAATTTGATGTTTGATAAATAATTTTTCAAAATAACAAATCAAATGCATTTTTATCAATCTTAAAACTGATCCTGAAAACTGAAAATAAATTTAAAACTCAAAATTGAAAATTCAAATACAAACCAAACTTACTCAAAACTTTTCTCGTCATTTTCAAAATTCTTGTAAAAATGCGTGACTAAATATTTGAGCCCCATTTTTTTGAATATTTATTTTTTCAAAACTCATTTTCAACTACACATTCTCTAATAAAATAATACTATACGTAAATTTTTTTTTTTAATTTTTAATGACACATTTTCCAAGAATCACTATTCAAAAATGTACTTTTCTTTTAAAATAGTGCTCAAACAAGGGCATAATTTTATCGAAAATATGTAAATTAGTTTATTTTGGTTATCCTATATTGGTTCGAAACTAATAAGCTGAAAGTTGTTTAAAATCGACTTAAAAGATCAGTAATTTAAATAAGGGAAAAGTTCAAAAATCAACGATTAACTATACAAAATTCAAAAATTAGGTTTTAAGTTT